GTGTGCGATGCAGCCCCCCCCCCCCCCCCTGCCGCTCCCAGCAGCCCCATGTGTGTACACGTGTGTGTGTGAACCCTTCACAACCCTACTGAGGAGCCCCCACCACCCTGATTTGGGTCGTGCCCTGAGGTTGGGAACCAGTGGCCTAGTGGCTTGAGCAGCTGCCCAGGAAGTGGGAGGCCTAGGTTCTACATCCTCTTCAGCTTTCCAAGAGATTAAACCCACCTTCCCTCCCTCTATATTGCTGTAGCCATCAAGATAGAGGGTAGGAAATGTTCAGCTTCTTCAGTTGAAGATATGTGTAGCCAAAAATGTAAGATTCAGGGGGTCAGAGATAGAATAAAGAAGAGGGGAGGGGAGCTCCAAAGCTACTAATACAGCTTTCATTAAAAAGCTAAACTGTATGAATGGTGATAGGAAGAAACCTCAAAAGTTGCCACAAAACAGAATTGTCACCACCTAGTTAAGGTAGCTCAGCCAGCAGCGCAGCAGCATAACTCATACTCCACTGTTGCTGATGACACTGCTCTTCCTGCTGTTGGCAGCTTGGGTCATGGGAGATCTGAGAACAGATGTAACATAAATATGAGGAGAGAAGGAATGTCAGTTCTCTTCAAGATCACAACAAACTGGACACTGCCCTTGTATCACTGGGAGTATGGGATTATCTCATCAATACATTCCTTTTGTTTGTTTGTTTTTTGATTCATGTGTAACCTGGGCAGGTGGGAAAATTCACAAACTGTGACTGCAGGTCATAGAGGCATAACTGACTCTTTTGGTCCCCTGGCCACTCTGTTGTGCAGAGCATAGGGAGGAGATGCTGCATTGATGGAGGAGGGCTCAGAGCAAGTCCTACCTCGCCTAGAGACCTAAAGACCTCTGGGTCACTGCCCCCTGGCTGTGACAGCCAATACAGCAGTGGTTCAGGGCTACTGCTGCCATGGCTCAAGTTGCTTCTGCAAAGCAAGTTCTCCACACAGCAACTTCAGCAACTTCTATGGCATAGGCTACCCAAGGCCACCGTTCTGGCACCCCATTAGATCTATGCCTGAGGCAAATGCCACCCTCACACATCCTAGTTATGCCACTGGCAGACTACTGTTGTTTGGTTTCTAAAAGCTCTCACTAAAGACAATATATATAACAGACAAGGAGTAGGAGAGTTATGTAAAAATAGTTACGTTTGTTTGTTCTCTATTGTGACACAAAGTTAACGTGTTAATTCCTTTGATTGTACCCATTTGTATTTCCCATGCTTTTTTTTTTTTAGCCCATGTCCCTTAATATACAATAAACATTTTTAAGCTAAAATTTTCCAAGATGTTTTTCATTTTTTGCACCTCACTCAATTTTGGGGAGTTCATCAAGTTGTCTGATTTTTCAAATATCCTTTGGACTTGTAGGCCCCATGAATTTTGACCCAAGGTTTTTCAAACGGGGTGCCAAAAAATGAGATAAAGAAAATTAGTGAACAGTGCTTTCAAATATGGCTGAAAATGCATATCTATCTCAGTGTTTCCTGACCTGATGTGGCAGTAGAGAGGTACGCAGCCCCAAACTTGAAGGAAAAGCTTAAGGCAGTATACTGCCTCCTATCATTATGCCTTGCTCTTGTGAAAAACCCAAAACTACACAAAGCAAGAGCAAAAAATGACCCAAAGGTGTTTTTCATCGACACCTATTACTTGACATTTGAGCCCTGTTTAGACGATGGTCTAATGTCTCAGGGAACCAAGTTACAGGGTGTTTCAAACTCTATATTTAGGAAGAACAACTGCAAGCTATGACAAGAATTCTCTTTTACACTTAGCTTCTAAACTGAGTTCCACTCCAGCCCTGAGCTGCACTCAGTACCATACAGGCACAAAGCACTCAAGCTATTTCAGACACATTTAAAGGATCACAGTCAAGATCTCAGCTGGTTGAAGAGGTGTCTTGTTCAGCATCGAAAGGAGGTATATATACCGACTTGACGGTTTGGAACTTTTTTTTATATATAAATAAATAAGCAAGCTAGGCTGAACGTGTCATTTTAAAAAACTTTAAAAACCTTTTTATGAATACCTTAATAACTTGCTGTAAGGTGACTTCAATTATTATAGTGCTGTAATTATTTTAACATTATGCAATATATTAATGTGTTTAGAGCAGACTGTTGTTGCTACTGCTTTATAATCTAGGTGTAGTTTAAACGATTTAAAACACAAAAGCTTCTTTACTACTTACTGATATCAGAAAAAGCAAGCTGCAAATTTGATCAGCATATATTTGGTAGTACAAGTAGTACACTTTTCTTTCTATCCATTGTTACAGTTGGTAATATTTGCAGGACATCAGGGTATGAGGGAGAAGTCTTTTTCACTGTAAACTAGCAGGTGACAGTAATAGATTAAAAGACAACAATGATATGGAAAATTTACATTAGTATTGTATTTGCCTGTAGTATATAATAACTTTGTGCATAACAAACTGTGCATAACAAAGTTCCAACTAGGGGTTTCACCTCCTCCTTTGTACCAGTTAGGTTTCACAGTGGTGTAGTTCCTGTCAAAGTCTTTTATGAGAAAATGCCCTGCAGCCTTCTGTCCAAAACACCCATTGTACTTGCTTCCACAAGTACAGCAGGGGGTAAGAGACCAGCATTCAGTGTTGTTGTTTTTTACTTCTGCTGCATATGTACAGTAGGATTATTAAAGATGGAAATTATGTTAGTATGTCTCATTGCATTTAAAGCAAATTGAATAAGAAGTCAGTCTGGACAGCTGTACATCCTTCTGTACCCCTTTCAGGAATTATTTTTAGCTGAAGGAGAGAAGATAACCTTTTCCAAAAAAAACTCTTTCCAAAACACTGACTGATTCCTTCTTATCAGATATTCCCATTCATGAGTGATTTCACTAGGAAGCAGGGGAGTAAGGGAATTTGTATCGCAGGTCAGCTATTAAATAGCTCCAAACCAAAATAAAAGTGGCATTGCTTTCAAAGTTTGACTCTGCATACAGACCATAAAAGGTAAAAGGTAAGAGGAGGCCAAAAAGTCTCTTGAGAACAGGGGTGTGTGTATGTACACATATGTATATATGAGAGACAGGGATCAAAAGAAATTTAACTGGCAAAGGGGTTTTTAAATCCTGAGTTGATAGTGAATGTGGACTCTAATAGTCAAGTTTGCAAATCTGATCATAATGCCAGAAATAACATCATGTCACTAGCATAGCATTCTGAATATGTCTCAGAAATATATGGCAAAAGAAAAATTCTTTATAAAAATATATTAATGAATTGATGAAAGCTTAAATGTAGCCAGTGATAAGGATTTAGTTGTAACTTAAGCTTTATTTCTATACATGTGATAATCAGTAGTTTTGCTAGAGGTGAATTTGGAGTACGGGGGAAGGGAAGGGAACACTGCCAGAGAAGGTTGTCTATTTTTATTCATCAGTGTGCTGTTGTCCTGATTTCTCTGGCAGTAATGAGGACAGCATGAACTAGTAGGAAAATCACCTCCTCCAAAAGCAATCCTGAACAATTGTATCATACATCTCTCTTTAGGAATCAGTGTCTGATTGCAATCAGTTTCAACACAGACTTTTTCTGAACTTATAACACATTACCAAAATGCAACAGTAAAGCTGTTTGATTTAAAGAAAGACATTTTAAAGCAAAGATTTTATTTAATTCTTTAACCATCTATGTTTAATTATGGCCAAAAACTGGCAGAAATATGTAGCATCGGTTGCAGTGCCTAGATATTAGGGGTGTGTAAAATGGGCCTTATTCATTTCAGATTTGGCCTGAATCGGGGACAGTGATTCAATTTGTTGATTCGGATCACTGTCCCTATTCAATTTGGCCAAATCCAAGTCTGAAGATTCAATGCTGATTCGGAGAGTCAGTGCTTCGGCCACAGAAACAGCTTTAAATATTTTTTCTAAATACCTCGAGGAACCAGGCATGGCTCGTGAACACTGTGATGTGGGGGCAGATGGGGCATCCAACAGGAATGCAAGGGGGTCCCCAGAACGCTTGGTGGCAGACTCAAAAGTGAACCAGAAGCACTTCCAGTCCACTTCCAGGCCCACTGCCAAGCGCGCAGGGACCCTCCACCCCCTGCACACCCCTGGCTTGGCGATTGGCCATGGGGGGACCCTGGGTGCCCCCCCCAGACCCAGGAGGCACCAGTCACTGAGCTGGAAAGTGGGGCAAGGATCTCCCGCACGCTCTGCAGCGGACCTGCAAGTGGACCGGAAGTGCTTCTGGTCCACTTCTGGGTCTGCCACCGAGTACGCTGAGGACCCCTCTGCGCTCCTGTGGGATACTCCATCCACCCCACCATATCAGCATTCATGAGCCTCCTGGTACCTCGAGATATGTAGAAAAAACATTTAAAGCTGTGTCTATGGCTAAATCATTGAGTCTCTCCAAATTGATTTGGATGGTTCCAGTTTGATTCAGAGAGATTAAAGGGTCTCCTGATTCAATTCGGATTTGGAGATTTGGCCACCAAATTGGGCCAAATCTCCACTGAATCGAATCAGTGACTGAAGCTTTGCACAGCCCTGCTAGACATACCAAGTGTGGTAGAAACCTTGACTATAATTTCGTCACAGATGTGCCTTTAAAGCAGACCCACAACATTTAAAAGCACTTTTGGGTTAGTTTCCTTGCTCCTGTATTCATTTTTAATTGTCAATAGAAATGGCTAAATATGTCATAGATTTCATAGACGTTAGGGCTGGAATGGACCTTGAAGATCATCAAGTCCAGCCTCCTGCCCCAGGGGCAGGATGTCAGCTAGGGTCAAAGGATCCCACCAAGATAAGCATCCAAGCATTTCTTGAATTAATCCAGAGTAGCTGCCTGCACCACTTCTGGAGGGAGTCTATTCCAGGTCTTGGGCACTCGGACAGTAAAGAAATTTTTCCTTACGTCCAGCCTAAAATGGTCTCGTAGGAGTTTATGACCGTCGGTCCTTGTTTTTTCTTGGGGTGGTCTGGTGAACAGACGTTCTCCCAGATCCTGATGTACACTCCTTATGTACTTATAAGCAGCCA